TTCTTGGCTAATCTCTCGATGTTCTCAGTCGGGTCGGAGCCCATCGACAGCAGACACACCATCGGCGTTCGGTTGTTGCTCTCTGCCAACATGGTGTCCAAGTCCAGGACCGAGCCTTCGGCGTACTGTTGGCCCAGAGACTCTGAGATGTAGCGCCGCGCCTGCAACCATCAGCTGTTAGCCTCCACATTACCCACAGTCTGCTCTGTCAGATCAAATCAGCAGTCAGACCTGAGCGATGGTCCGGTCGGGGCACCAGCTCCGGATGAGCAGAAGCTTCCGGAAGGTGTCGAGCTTCTCCTCGTAGCCATCGGGCAGCGGGGCGTCTTCTGGCGCTGGATGGTCGAACCACGCTTTCCAGGCGCGCTCGTTCTGGTTCACCTGGTTCAGAATCTGGAAGAACGCAGGCAGGCTGGACAGCTGCACCAGGTTCAGCCAGGTCTGGTCCAGGATCCAGCGCCGTGGCTTCGATTCTACAGAGTTCAGGTCCAGAGAGGCTCCGCCTACACCGAGAGAGTAACAACTTTCACTCTCAAAGGACTCTGGAGGATGCAGGAGAAGAAAGGAGGAGGAGAAGGTAACCTTTGATGAAGGTGAGCACCTCCACGTGCGAGATGATTCGGGCCTGCAGGTCGATCTTTAGAGCCAACAGCAGAGTGAAGAGCAGCTTGTGTTCCTCGTACAGACCTCTGGCTGTGTAACGGTACACCTGAGGGACAGACAAACATCCTGAACCTCCACTCGAGTGCACGTTACAGGAAAGAAAGGACAGCCCTGAGGTGTGTGCTGATGAGGAGCACCTGGTAGGTGAGGAAGCTGATGATGTTGCTAATGCGTTTGGAGGTGACCTGCGACCTGGCCGAGTTCTGCATGGACGAATCAAAGAGCCCGAGGAACTGCCGCGGCGACGTCTGGTACATGACGTTCACCAGCGACATCTCCACAATCAGGAAGTAGAGGATGCTCCCCCTGGTGGCCACTGGCCGGTACTCCTCCCTGGCCTGGTTAATCTTCACCTCTGTCTCCGCGGCAACCGTCAGCTTCTCACTTACCTGGAAGATAAAAGGACTCGCTGACTTTCATACAGGTTCCTTTAGCTCAGCGGCTCCCAAACTTTTTTT